TACAAATGCGCTTTACACAATTGATGCGTGTATGGATTGGGATAACAGTTGTATGAGCCCCTAATAAAATGTTAAAAAAGAAAAGAAAAAAAAAGTTTAAAAAACAAACAAACAAACAAAAAAACAACAAAGTATTCCTGCATTGAGAGAGTACTTGAGTGGAGGCCCAAAGTCCATCTGCTACCTTAATACTAAACCTATAAATATATGCACAGAGATCTATTCCCTATCCTTATATATAAATATATTTACATATGTACATGCCTGTATTTAGACCTCTATAAATGCCCTTTGCCTCCTAGCTCTTTCCTCTATTTTACTTTCCTCTTGTCGCACTATCATGCTCAGCCTTCGATTGGGTTTCAGTAATTCCTCCCGGTTACGTTACCCTTGATCATGCCCTACCAGGCGTCCTACACCCTCTTCACCACTGATTTGGATCACTTGTTGATCCCTTGTCCCTGGGTTTGTTAACACCACTTCCTTCCCCCCCCACTTCCCCTGGAACCGTTGGTCCCGTATTTTTCCCCTCCAGATTGTTCATCCAGCCTATCTTATTTAGACAGACCTGTGGAGATAATAACATGCACAAAAGCAAGACAGAGCAAAACCAAGCAACAAAAGAAAACAAAACAACAGCAACAAGCCAATGACACGCACACAAAAAACAACAACGACAACAGAGAAAAGCTGTAGTTAGTTCAAGGACTGTTTGTTGGCCTTTAGGAGTGTTTTCCAATTAAGTCTGATGGGATGCCAAGCCCTGGCCCCAGAGTCTATTTTTGGTATTCCCTAGGGACTTCGTTTCTCTGTTCCCCTTGCTGTTCTGTTGCACGCCCTTAGTTTTGTCTTGGTGCGGAGGGTTCAGATCAGGCGCCACTGTGTCTCCAGTGTTGTCCCCTGTAGGGTTATGGGTCAGTGAGGGCTGTCTCATAGTGGGGCCGGCCCTATGGTCCTCTGTGTGCTTTGGCTGCTCTGAGCGGGGATATCATCCTCAGGGCTTGGTGGGCCAGAATGTGCTCCTCTCTCTCTTCCTCCCCTTTCATTTGCTCCTGTGTGCTCTGATCAAACATGTCCCTCTCCCTGAGCTGCAGATTCAGTGCTGTCCTCTGAAATAAATTCTTCTGGGGGAAGGGCTCCTCCTCATTTTTGAGCCTCTCTGCCTACTCCCTCTCCCCCTCCTGATCCTGGCTGGTGTTAGGGGAGTTGTAGGGCTTACAGCTGAGGGAAAGAGTGCCTGAATACCACAGGGCACAGGGTGCTGGGAAGAGACTGGAAGGAGGGGCTGGTGGCCAGTGCAGGCCTCTCTGGTGTCCACTGACCTGCAGGAGAACCTTCAGTCACACTCAGGCCTTACCAGGAGCCAGCAGGCCCCTCGGGAGCCAGGTGGGGGCGCTCCGTGAGCGGAGGCTTAGGGAATCACTGTGTGCCTCCTTCCTCTTAGCGAGCTAGGCCTACTCACCCTGTCCAAACTCAATTTTTAACCTTCATATGCTTTTAAAAATATATATTTTTGAAGGAGAAAGGGGGAACAGATGACAAGGTCCACATATGGCCTCCTCCCTGGGGGAATGGACGGCGGAGAAGTGGGTGAGGGAGACGTCGGATGGGGTAAGATAAGATAAAGTAATGATAATTTATAAATTATCAAGGGTTCAGGGGGAGGGGGAGGGGGGAAAAATGAGGAGCTGACACCAGGGGCTCGAGTGGAGGGCGGGTGATGTGAGAATGATGAAGTCAACATATGTACTAATGTGCTGGACACAAGTGATGTACGGATTGTGATGAGTTGTATGAGCCCCTAATAAAATGATTATTAAAAAGTGAAAAAAATATATGTCTATATATTTTTTTAATTAGAGGAAGAGTAAGTACAGGGCTGTGTTGGCTCACGCTTCAGGAAACGTGGGAGCCAGTCGTATGCACAGCCATTCTTAAAGGTTAAACTACACAAACTTTCAATGAAACAGATATTAAGAACCAACCAATGAAATACTCAGAGCTCACCACTTCCTACTTAGTCTGCTACCTGGGCTCCGCTCCGGGCTATCCGAATGCAGGTCGCCTCTCCCTCCCCAAGTCTGGCCCCTGACATCACCTTGAGGGCTTAGCAGTATGAGAGGGTACACCACAAGAACTGGGATTGTGCTGGGAGGTGCAGAGCTTCTGCAGAGCATTTTTCCTGCTAGGTGAGCGTCGAGCTACTCGCTCTGCGTTAGTGCAGCCAGCGGCGTCACCTGGGAAGGTTCTCTCTGCTGCAGTGAATCTTTGTGACAGCAGTTTCACTTGACCCTCGTTTTTTGTGATGGCCGATTTAAGAGAACAGTGTGCAGCTGTGAAATCTTGTTTCCTACTCGGAAAAATGCTGCAGAAACCGCTGTGATGTTGACCAGAGCTTACAAGGCCAGTGCTATGGCAAAAACTCAAGTGTACTTTCTCGTTTCAAAAAAGTTGAAATGTTGATTGATGACAAACCTCATTTCGGACATCTGTCAACTTCCCAAATGGATGAAAATATTGACTCGTAGTGCATTTGGAGTTCATTCCACCAAGCCAGACTGTTAATCAAACACTCTATTTAGAGGTTCTGAAAAGATTGCATAACAGTGTGTGGAAAAACGGCCTGCTTTGTGGCAGACAGGGGACTGGTTTTGCCACCACAACAATGCAACTGCTCACCCAGCCATCTCAGTGCACCAGTTTTTGGCAAAAGTCAGCATGCCTCTCTTGCGCCCCCCCCCCTGCCCCACTCACCTGACCTCACTCTGTACACCTCCTTTTCTTCCCGAGAATGCAGAGGGCATGGAAGGGCAGCGACTTGACAAAGTAGAAGTGAAGAAAAAGAATTTGAAAAATGTTCCCAAGAATAGAACTGCAAATTTGACAGAAGTGCTAAGTGTAATGGA